TTGTTCATTATAATCGTATCCTATATCTATAGGTATATAATTATAAAATATTTGTACATATAAGTTCATATATACATATATATGTCCTCAAATGAATCACTAAAGCTCTATACCAAACTCGCAAAGCAAAAACTAGTTAAATGAAATGTTAACTGAATTAAAAAACAATTGTGCCAAAAATACATTAACACAATTTAGAGTGGACTCGTGGGTATTACTTTACAGAGAATTCAACACCGACAAATATCACTCAATCCTTTTGAACTCAAAATTCAATATTATTCTTCTATTATCAATAATTATACTTTAAAGCAAACATAGATATACAATATGCCTAAAATTGTTCTCTTTTCAATAAGTTATTAATAACGAAGCAGTTGTAACGATCATAGTTGAGAAATGAATCATAGAACAAGGGGCTAAACACGTTTCAAACGACAAAATCTTAATAAATCCGTCTCTTGCATTACTACAATGTATATTAGTAATCACGAATTTAACGTACCTCCCGCCAAATCATAAATTCGTCTTTATACAAATATTTGCAAAGTACCGGAAGAAAAGGACTGCGTCGTAAAGATGGTCATGGTGTGGTCACTGAGGTCCTCTGAAAACAATGCCGGTAAGTCCAGCAGCATGACAGTAAGCCCGTCGAATTCCCCGAACGGTTTTCGTCGATTCGTTCTATTCTTACAGGCGGCCCCGTTAAAGAAGAGTCCACAAGCGGTTTCGGTTTATTCTAGGTTATGGTCTAAGACAGAGAGGCGGTTTCGCGGAAGGAAAATCGGGGATTAGGACAGCGAGGGGAAGGACGGCCGGGGTGGAGGAGATAGGCCGTGAGGGAGGAGTAACGGAGGGCGAGGGAGCCGATCATGTGGCGGACAGATGGTGGCCTCCCGGTCCGTTGACAATAGATTTTCGGGATTTCCCGTTCATTCGAGCCGAGAAGGACGGTACGTTCGGTACACGCTTGTTCTACGCGACGACCGATCGTTTTTTTATTGATAGTTAAAGAAATATCCTTCGTGGAATCGTTCGATACTTCATTGATCTCTAGATTTCGATACGACTTTCTATTAGTGGCACTTTTGGTACATGAGAAAAGGCATTGTTCTGCTTGAATTCTTGTAATCTTCTTTTAAATTATCGATCTTGTATAGACATGATTTAAAACAATGCATTTGACACTGATCACGCGTCGTTGAATGATTATTTCACATAGCGACATCAATCAGCAGTCGATGTAATGCTAAATTTGATTTTAGGTGTTCACTAGACTTAAAAGTCAAGTTTTATAATTTATTCATCAATGTTTCACAAATGATCACTCTATTAATCGAAGAAATTAGACGACGTTCCTATCGAACCTTGCCATAGTAATTCAACTGTATTTACCAAAACGTGATAACTCGTAAACTCTTCTACTTCTAAAACCAGAAGTTACCTCTTATTAAAAGAATACTCTTTCTTAAAATAAAATTTCTACAATTCGAAGCACTGAAGACTCATCCTTCAATTTATGTACTCAGTCAGATAAATGGGTGTACACGATTCAAAGTACGTCCAAGTCGATCAATCAGCATCGATGCATCCTCGAACGTTGCACTATCGGTGAAAGTTCCACCAGCGATTTTAATGTAACTGCTGTCTACACTCCTCCTCTATCATTCCTGCTTAGCCGCGACTCCTTCGCGACCAGGACGCATTCCGAGATAAACATAAATTCACGATGCCCGAATACTTACGTTTCTCGAACGGTGGCTAAAACCGGCGGCCATCTTAATCGGCGATCCGTGATACACGCGAACAAGCCTGCGGTCGAGATAAGACAAGGGGCGCAGTTTATGCTCTCCGTTTCGCTCTAATGGACATTCCGTGCGTGCTACGACCGGGAATCTCTTGTATTTTCTATCTGTAGACTAACTTGTTTCCCCGGGCCCACGACAGGGACACGTTCGTCGCCGGAGCGAGGTAACGTGGACGATAATCGCGATTTTAGAGAGGAACCGAGCAACGTTGATCGCCATCGTTGCACGCGGCTCCCGGGATCCAGGGATCCAGGGATCCACCGTGAGTCATCCTTCCTGGGCATACTTTGGAAATCGTCGGGCCGAGCGTAATTAGTCCTGCAGGTAGCCAAGGGCCTCAGATTCTTGAAAATTCCCAAGGCCTTTGCGTTTTTGACGGGGTTCGATCTGTCGATTGATGGAAACATGTTGGAACACGTTTACTTGTTTCGTATGATATTAATGCTAGAACTACTTACGTAATAGCTGAATTGATTTTCTTGAATTTTTGTAAGGATCTGTAACGTTTATTGAAGTCTCGATTGATTATTTGTATTCATAGTTTGAGTATAGATCAACTTTTTTGGTGATTTCTTAGGGGACCGTGTTTGTAAATCTGTTAAATAATTGTTAAAGATTGTGTGGTAGTTCTGGTGTTAATAGCTATAATAATGATGATAGTAAGAATAATAAGTAGTGAGAAAAGGAACTTTGTATAACTAGTTTTATATTATCGTTTATAATAATGGCAAGGATGCAGTGAAATTTTACACAATACTGCTGATATGCGAATGATTTTGTTCGTATACCTTGAAAGTGGAGCGAGAACCTGTAGAAAATGGATATTAATGGCAAGAAAAATGGTTCGGAAGCGAACAATCATGATTAATGGAATTCGGATCAGCCGTTCTAAAATTACACGTTCTCATCTAATTACCAAGGCAAATTGCAACGCGCGATCATCGCAAACGAACGATTAGCATAAAACACATACTGTTCCAGTGTTTTAAATACTCGCATCGGCAAATGAAGTACTGTTTATACCAATCTTCAAAAGATAATCTTAATGATCGTCGAGCGTTACATCGAACTTTGTAACTTTTTGAAGATACTCTATATGCAACGTGCGACCTGTAACCAGTAATTAACAGTTATCGCCAATGACGCCGTGCAGTTGGTACGGCATTAAAGCCGTATATAAAAAACGCACACATATAAAATGCATTTATCGCACATGCAATCATTAATCTTAGACAACTTATGCAACATTTCTGCGTGCATAACCATTTATTTTCTACACTTTATTCCCGTCTAAATCGTAAATATCATTACCGAAGTAAAAATTATGCGAAAGTAGAAATGCGTTTTACGTAATATTTGAACAGAAAATATTTGAACAATGGTCGATCGAGGCATCAAAGGATATTTGAAAACGCGAATATATCGAACCGATTTTTCTTCTTAATTATAGTCGCTTATAATGAAAATTAATATTGTACAATAAGACGCGAATCGGGGTTTAAAGTCAACTCCCGACGTGTCGCACACGAAACACGAGTGCTACTTCGCGATAGTTTGCGATGACATGTCTTGAATAAATTCGCCGCGCTCGCGCGAATATCATTTATTATTCATATCGATGTTGCACACGTCGAACACGTGGCAGAAGTTTTCCACGTAGCGAGCCGTTCAGGCGGCCGGCGCGCGCTCGCGCGTTGAGTTGATGGACCATAAAATCGTGCGGCGGTCTGCCACTTTTCTTTACCGCTCGCAACCCTTCCGCGCCACGTGCTTTTCTCGCGCTCCGCCGGTTACTCATCTACCACGATTTCCTGAAACTTCACTGTCCCCTTCGGGCGACAGTAGGACCTCGATTGACCGAGTTCATTTCTCGATTCTTCGCGATCTAGATCGGTCAGCAACTTGGTCATTAGTGAACTTGGTAATTCGGGTTCTTAACACTAAACGTACTGGTGAATGATCAAATAACGGATTGCAACATTTGTTTTAAAATTCTGCGGTTTCTCGTTCGTCCATTTAATTTTTCATCAATTCTGATATTGATTGATTCATCAGTTTTTGTCTTTCTTTCTGTTTCAGTTTTCACTAAAACGAATTGACCGTCTGGTTTGTTTACCTTTATTTTCTAACTAATTATTTCACTAGTTACAGTAGGAATAGTTACATATAAATTTCTCCATTTATATGGATTGTTAGTCGCTCAGTTAAGTTGGATAATTGATCTACTATATTGCGAATGGGAACTGGATCTAATTCGGACTAAATTATTCCTTTCCTTATAATTTAGTGCGTTCGTAGATTAAATACTTGTTAGAATATTCTTACTGGAATGGTCTCTGAAGATATTGGAGATGTTCTAAGATATTGAAGTTATCGGTCCACCATGTATTCCATTGTTTCGATCACTTGTTATATGATTTCATTACAATTACATAATATAAGTTTGAAATAAGACCAGTTGCACCAACCGCATTTCCACCACGTCCTGCGATTCACTGCGAACACAATTAATTCAGTTTAAGAAGATATATTTAACGGTTCTTGTACGCACAGAATCCTACCTACCCGAACCATTGACAATTTGCCAGGAGAAAAGAGAAATCTCCATTCCTCGAAGCTTCATTCAAACTCGAAAATACCGATAACGAGAAAACCGTGTCTCGATCGAACGGAAAGAAAAACAACAGGCAACGTCAATACTCATTCATCCTCGTTCAAAATCCTCTCAACTCAACATTCCAAGGAACAGGGGATGAAATCAAAGCATCTCGTCGCGACTCGTCGTGCTATGTCTACAATTTTAGACTCCTGGACCTACCAGAAGACGATAATACCCAATAAATTCGATCGGAGTCTCGAATCAGTCATTGTCGCGGCCACCGTCCGCGGGAATGCCGTTTGACGCGTCGATGCTAAATATCGGCCGTACCGTGCTATTATTTATCAGCTGACTGGCCCTCCCGCGCGAAGAAGCTTTTGGATGAACGGCGACGGGTGAGGCGGGCGCGGGAGGAGGGCGTCCCGCGATCGCTCGGAGTCGCCGTCCGAGGAATCGGGATCGAGAGATGGCGATACAGAAATACCGAATAGTTGTCTAAAAGTGTGTGACGGACGGACAGCTGGCCGTCATTAAAACCCCATTAGCAAGGAGCTCCCCTCTGGACCGCGTAACGCAGCCCCCAAGTTCTAACAATATCTTCGACGACGGTCCGCCACCACCCACGCTATTAATATTGCTCTATACCACCCTCCCCGTCACCGGCCAACGCGGCACATACACACGCGCGTGCACGCACACCGACGCGCGCGGTCCTCCTCGCTGGCTCGCTCGCCTTCCTCAGCTCCTAGGCCTCGTTTCACCATGGAATTCGCATGGACGTGCCTCCTTGGATTTAGATGACAATTATTGCTCCGCTGTCGCGCGGTCGTTCTTTGTGTGGACGTTGCGCGGCGGGCAACGGGCACGAGAAATGCAATCGCGGCCCGAAACGATGGACACGAGTCGTCCCGCGTTTATAGTCGTCAACAATGTGGTCGAATTGTTGCCGAGAAGATGGAGGCGATTGCTTGTGGCTCTAAAGCCCTGTACGCGCGTTTGGGATGTTTCGCGAAGCATCGAGTCTTCGGTTTCTTGAAATCTGGCAGCGACTTTGCTTGGCTTCCGCAATTTCAATTCTTCTTTGTTGCGTGGCAGTTGATTCTGATGCCAAGCTGAGTGTATTATAATGTGTATCGGGCAGTTTGTCAATGCATGCACCGCAACATGCTCTGCGTGTACGCGGGCTTAAGGCGCTGAGAACGATCGCGACTCGATTCCGCCGTTGGGGTGGATACACCGTTTGCGACCGCTGTCAACAGTTTCGCGCGTTTTGCTTTTTCTAATCTCGTTGGTGGAATTGAAGCATCGGTTTTGATGGATTCGTGTGCTGTCTTGTGGTTCATGTTGGGCGCACCGAGGGTGAATGATTCGTTGAAATCGTTCGTTGAAGGGTGGGTATGTTGAGATGTCACGCGATTTTTATTACAGCTTGTTCAAGAATAAATGGGTTGGTGTAATAATTTGTATTCTTCTTTTGAAAGGAGAAAAATTCCTCTAATTTTTTGAAAAATTCCTTACCTAAATCCTAGCCCTTCTTCTTTTTTCTAAATACTTTCGTTGTTTTATTATACCTAAAACCACTGATCACGTTCAGTAGTTGTAATCCTCAATGCTCAATACTACTGTAAACTTCGTTTATATCTGAATTTAAGCTTCTATTTTTCGCTGAAAGCTTCGTTTGATCAGTTGCAATGAAAATCTGCTTCTTGGTTCGCTGCGTAAATCACTCGCGCATTTTCATAGGGCCGTGGTACGGAAATAAATGTTACGCCGGTCCCGTTGGGCACATACACCGCGCGAGACGAAGAAGACGCGTCGCGTATACCGGACGCGCGACCCTGATCGATCAATCTGCTTCTCTTGACGCCTCCGACCAGAAAAAATATGAGGGCGAGCGAGCCGGTGTCCGCTGGATCGGACAACGCGACTCGCTATCCGTCAAATGCCGGTTCCGGGGAAGTCAGGGATCTGGGTCAAGTTCGAAATAACTATACGGTACCGAGGGACGTGTCGCTCCTCCGTCACGTTTCCTCGCGGTTTTCGTGTCTCCTTCAAATGAACACCGGTGTCTCTTCTGCTTCTGATTTTCGGGAGACCTTGTCGAGAGATTGGGTGGATCTTAATTCGAGAAAATTTCGTTTCACGGACGTCGACTATTATTAGTCGGGTGGCATCCGTTGATTTTGATGGATACTGCGTTGTAAACAGTGTCTAGGAACATATTTTTAGTTCCTTTTTACAATCACCAATTGTGCATTGAGTATAAAAGAATAGTTGTTAGACACGGTAGATTAACACTGAAACTATCAGACAGGTCAAAGTGATTTAATGATTTCTTAGTGTACAATCATTGAGAAGATACTAGCATTTCTCAGAGCAGTGACTAAATAATATACACGAACTAAAATATAATTCGATGAAAATCTCAATAAATACGCTCTTAGAGTATCTCCAAAAGAATAAGAGGAAGACAATTTGACTGCTCAGTAGTTCTAGTTGAATATCGGAACACTAGAACAAAAGTCATAGATCAACTATCTAGATCTCACGTAATGAAAATATACTACTCGTTAATAACAAAGATGCAGAAACAACCCTCCAAAACTTAGCCACGAAACATAGTCCCAGAACTACATCCTAAGACACAAATACCAAACATCCCTTATCCCGCGCAAAAGTTTCATTTCCACAAGACACCGGTTGTCCGATCGAGTCACAAAGCGCCCAAAGGAGCGGTGCAGGGCAGGACGAAGGTTAAAGAGCACGGCACGATGTTCGCGATTTGTTTGAGCCTTTGGCGAGCCGCGAGAAAAGCCGTCTCGATCGGCGGGGCCGCGTCACGCGGCGACCGGAGCAGCTTTATACGTGTAACCCCGGTCTCCGAGGGCGGTCCGCAAGATCAAGTTCGGGGAAAAGGTCTCCCCATCGCGAGAGAGGGCCATATTTATAACCGTGGGCGCATCTCGTGTAAAGTAAATCGGAGACGCGGCGGAAAGACGGACGGACGATGGCTGGCTCCGCCAGATTTAATTAATGACCCGCCGAGTTTGATCTGCCGCTACAAAGACCGAACACGCGACGAGAGCACCGATGCCCCCGTCTCTCTTTTTCTCCCTCCTGTCGCATGCCCTCCTCCCGCGCGAACTGGCGATGCCAGGCGAGGGAAGAGGGCCCGGGTTCCGTTTATTTCGGTCCGTGAACCGAGCGAACGCGAGAAAGGGCGGCTCCCCCGCTCTCCACGTCCATCTCTTTTATTGTTGTTCGAAGAGACCGCGACCGCGATCCTCTTTCTCTCCGGCTTTCCAACCCTTTCGCCGTTTTATTGCGCCGCGACTAGCCGCGAAACGCCGACCGACAAATTGCGCGGACGGAAATTTGGATCCTGCTCAATGGAATTCAACCGGTTTCGTTGGGGATATCGTGAAACGAATGGTTCTTTAGTTTCAACGAAACTGAAACGAAACGGTTTTAACTTTTTAGCTTCAACGTTGAGTCTCTGACACTTTTCGAAAGTATTTGAATGATTGAAACGTTCGTGTTATTAGTAATGCAGGAGTTGGTACTTGTATCGGTACTTGTACCTGCTTTGTATCGTTGCATTAATCAAAGGCAAATTTTTTAAATAAAAGTATACGCTAATTTCTTGGATGTTAATCATAAAATTTCAGTTCTTCTATAATCTGATGTTGACGAAGAATGCCTTTTGAAATACCTTTGAAATCTAAAACAGTAGTACACGTTTTTTCCTCGAATTCGAAGATGATCCTGCGTTTGGTAGTCACCCCCTGCCGCGGCGGCGAGGCAGTTGCATAAGAGCGGATTGATAAAAATAATTCGTGCCCGCCGCGAGAGCCTGTGGATCTCGAATCTGGCAAACACGTGGAGGACTCGCGTGATCCCTCGGCAACCGGTTGGGTCCGCCCGGACAGCTGAAGTCGCGTGCTTCGCGATCGATTCGGATCCCGGCTTACGAGGCACAACATATTAACCCTGTAGTTCCTGGTGGTATCGCCTTGAAACCATATACTTCAGTGAAATGCGGACTGGAGAACTAGTCGCCGAGTTACCAGTATAAAATCAATATAGTAACCACCTATATTGTTGACACATAGAATAGTATTCTTTATAAAAATATTCATTTTTGTTAAAAATGATAAGTTAGTTAACGTACATTGTGAAAGTTTTTACTCGGAACTTAAAGGGTTCACCTCTTCTATTGAAAACACGTACCACGCACGTCGAGATGATTTTGTTCCGAAATTCTCAATGACATCCTATGCACACCGACATTCTTGTTCCATTATGCATACTGCATTATTCTGAAATGTGCCACTCTACACAAAATGATTAATGAATAATATTAATATACATATCTGCGTGAAATAGGGGAAAAGAAAATTCGTCGCCAAAGACTTTGCCAAATCTTTGAATTAATTTCCAGTGCAAGCGGTTAAATGGCTTGCGACCCCGCGACAAACCGAGTTACGAAAACCGCCTGGTGAAATAT